TTGTTGGTCCAGAAAGATTTTCGAGCTACGAATGTTAATGTTAAAAGGCTACAGGAGAATACGAAAACATCACCAAGGGATAATCGATAAACGGAGTAATTAGTGCTTTTACAAGTTTTTCCCTCGTACATTCTAAGTCAGAAATAAAATTTCGTTTATCCACTCATAAAGCATTTAGCGGAAAAAACGATCAAAGAGTTTTGTGACTGAGTTTGAGTAACCCAAAAAGTGGTCCCAAAGTTAAGAAAACACCAGTCTCTCAAAATGTTACGTTCTCTGGGAATGGTCCTATAGTCCATTGAATGTATTGGGTATCATTATATTGAATGGAAGAACCGTGCATCAATCAAAGGCCGTGCGTGCTCTCTCCAAATGCATAACGAAGCTCACCGTTTCACCGAGTCCATCCCAAAGTTCAAAATGTTGTTTGGTGAGCAGAGCCGATGTAAATCATGCCTCACCCAAGAACGAACCCCGCATCACTCATCGTGATGCGTGTTTGTGAAAGTCCAGCTTGAGCATCAATCTGAGCTCGAGCTCTTTTGCGCTCTTTGGATTTGCCATCATTGCTCTTTATATGTGAGGGATGCACTAGCTCACGATGAATGAGCATTTTTTTTTTTTTTTTTTATTATAGTCACTTTAACACTCTTGGGTCATTCGTGACTTGTCCGGGGGTGAGATTTGAACTCGTGACTTTAGCGTGATAGGTATGAATGTTAACCAATACGCCGGGGTCAGGTATATTTTACTGAATTTTCTCATAGTGCAAACTTATATGATTTTCCATTAGTTTCTAGATGTCTATTCCCACCCATTACATATCACCAGTTTTTCACCATGAAATATATCAGACAATATTCATATACATCTTACCTATCGCTAACCACGTTCGAAGCAAAGTTTTATCAAGTTCTATGTATGTGAAATTACGATGTACGATATACAACATTCCATATCGCAGTCATAGTTTTTAAGAGATAATCCGATGGAATCTATCAAACATCACATAGAATGAATAAATCTGCTGACATTGCTATATTATAAGATGGATCCAATAAACGGTACATGTCGATTTGTTTCAGTGACTCAGTTGTATGAGATATTCCTAAAAACGCAGGTTACTCAGCGCTGAGATTTATTTAACTAAGATTTATTTACAGTATACTGTAATGTTTTACCGAATATGGAACAGCTGAGCATTCGGTAATCTATTCGGTAATTTTATTATTTTAAATCCTTTCAGTAAATTCACTGAAATTTACTGACCTGGATTGTAATTTTTACAGAATGATACAAAACCGTTCGGTACTTGGTTCGGTATTAATTTTTACCGAAATAACTGTAAATTGTTTCCCTGAATGAATCAAAATTTATGTTTTTTCTCCAAATGATGATGATAACAAACATAACGAATCGTTTGACTCAAAAAACGTTTATTTTTGTTTGTTTGTCCGATGTTATTGACAACAAGTAAACCACACAAAAAATGTCGTTTTGCATTAGGCCCATGGTGGCTGAAAACAATTGGTTTAGAACCTGGTACAGAATCAAGTTATCAATAAAAAAAATCCTTTTAACGTATATTTACCGGATTATAGTTCAAAATTACAGTAAGTACACCGGAGAACCGAAGTAAAATCAACTAAAATCAAGTATTTTACAGAACGAATCCAGCTAAAAAGTACCGAACATTAGTTGATAAATTAGGTGTGTATGCGAGTGAGTATGTATTGACGTCATTAAAACAAAAAAAGCAATCGTGTAGGATCCACTTTACAAATATCTCGTGCAACTGAGTAAAAATTATTCACTTTCTGAGTTACCCTCACCGGCCGTGCGCTATTCTACATTGGAAACGAGCCGCCGTACTATTTTGAATCGCGAAACGTGCGCGCAGCCTAAGCCCAGGCGTAGGTATCAATGAATCAAGCTGGGTTGGATTCAAATTATTTTTCATCCACAAATTGAAAAATTATGATTACATTCGCATGCACGCGAATGTATTAGATATGTATACCCACATATACATTTGCTGGCACAATATCAATTCATTCAGTTTTACTCTAGAACCCGTGTGGTGCGAACGTGTAGACGCCTAGCAACGTGAGTTGGTTGAGGTAGTTCAAGTTTTTGTGTGTGCAAAAGAAAACTGATCATCAGCTGTTTTGCCAAGGTCTTTGTGCCGGTGTTTGTTTGCTGCAAAGGAGTCACAGTGAGTGGAGATACCTACCTACATGAACTGGCAGAAAACCGGTTGAAAGTACACCGCATATTCATATAGGTTTTGAGATCTCATCAAGACTATCTGATTTGGCGCGACCTTGGTTGAAGTAGCTGTCTATCAGCATTAAGAGTACATTTATGAATGACAAATACCCATCGGTGATTGAAATTTCTTATCATTTGAAAATATTGACCGGATCACAACTTAATGATGCGTAATTAGATACGCAACATATCGTTTACTTACTTATTTGGTTCTAGATTGGAACCCTGTACACAATCAAAATGACTCGGCATATTGTTTCACTCGTTACAAGTGAATAGACAACGCATTTATCAGTACCTTCCCATACTGGAGTTTAAATATACTTAAGTAGATAGGTATAATATTTATAAAATAGTAATACTAGTACATGCGTATTTTGCTGTACTTGTACATCAGAATCGCAACGAACACACGCTAACTTGAAAGTCCCCATTAATGAGTAGAATTTCACCTATTTTGAAGTTGCTTAACTGTATTCAATGGTACAGTCGAATTTCACTCTTTGTCGCTAAATTAAGTCAAACGTCATTTCTAACAGTGCCATAAACGGTAAGCGCAAAATACCCAATAATGACTACAAAGTCAGCATTTTCGAGGGAGACTGGGACTACCCATTATATGAGTAAACATATTACCCATTTATGAGTATTTGTCACTCAAAAATGAATACTTACTACTTATTTTTGTAGTTGTAATTACTCATAAATGGGTAAAATTTTACTCTTTTAATGGGTAGTCCCGGTTTCTCTCGAAAATGCTTACTTTGTAGTCATTATCTGAGTACTGCGGACTCACTCAAGGTGCTTGTCACTTGGGAGCCAGTGTAAACTGTCAAGCGGGAGCCAAACATTCAGAAGCAGCAAATGCAGTTACTGTTCTTATCTACCGTCATAAAAAATGATCTATACTTTTTCATAACACATTCTTAATTTTAAGCTCAAAGATAAAAAAAAAACCAACAGGCTCAGTGATGAAAGTATAAAAAACAGCATAATTTTTATGAGGCAGCTGAGTTTTCAATTACAGTAAAACAATCCTTTGCGAAAAATGTATGTAAACAAACTTTGATAGAGTCATGGGGGCTCGAGCACTTCTGGCTCAGAGCTTTTGGCGGGAATCAACTGAGAAAGAGGAAACCAGTTTTAAACTTGAGAAAATTTTCAAGCAGTTTTCCATTGGCTTGCAAAATAAAATTGGTCGACTCCGCAGTACCCAGGTCATTATTGGGTATTTTGCGGTTACCGTGTAGGTAACTCTAAGACCAGAAAGTCCCGAAGAAACGTGCTCAGCTTTTTGGCTCAGCTCTAGTACTATCTTCGGTCCCAAGCTAATCGATGCACTCCTTGAAACATAGGAAAATCCACAAACCCCTTATTTTATCTGTCAAACTTTCATACATAATCAAAAGAAACATAGTGTAGTACTATAATTTCGACTATAAATACGGGGTACGTATAAATGTACTTGGGACCAATAGACTATAGTCAAGTAGTGAGCCAATTTTAAATCGTTAGTTTCCACCGAGGTTTCCACCGGTTGCCGGTGCGTTTTCCAGGGGCTCATGGATGAACAATTTGTGTAGTTGCTAAACGATTTTCAGCTTTGACAGTTCAGCCCAACTACACACTAAGATTATTTTACAGATTTCTGTAAAATTTTACCGAAATCTCAACAGCTGAACGTTCGGTAAACAATGTTACAGTTTTCCTGTAATTATTCACAGATATCTGTGTGAATCTGCGAAACTGTTTACCGAACGTTCAGCTGTTGAGACTCCGGAAAAATTTTACAGATTTGTGTAAAAATTTCTAAGTGTCTAACGAAAGCCATTCACCGCTTTTAGCCCAATGAGTGATAGTTGATGGGGTGTTTACACTTATGCTATTTCACTAGCGCTAATAAGCTAGCTACTAGCAAAAAAGCTCACTAGCATAATGTAAACAGGGCATCAGCGTCTACCAGCATGAGATTTCAGGAGCAACTGAAATTCGTGCTAGTAGCTAGTTCACTAGCGCTAGCAAATCCGCACAGATGTAAACACCCCATGACTGTATCTGTTAGCCAATAATAAGTAACGATTAAACCATTAAATAGCAATAAAAGGTAACAGTTACTCATTAAATGGGTAAAAATTAACTCATTCATTAGTTTAGCCACTTTTTTTTTTTCAAAATATGTGTAATGTTACTCATTAATGGGGACTTTCAAGTGAGCGTGCCAGATAGGTACGTTCAGTTTACAATGCCCAAAACACATTTCAGTGCCAACATTTAAAAGGGGCGTAATTGCATTTGTAAACAATGGTGTTAGTCGTCGATATCCCGCGAATGAAAGCTCACTCATAAAAATGAATGACATCAGCAGGTAGATAAATGTTTCCTGTACCAGCTAGCATTGATAATTTGGAAAGGTGGGCTTTTATTTGCGAGAAATCGACGGCTGCCATTGTTTACAAAAGCAATTACGCCTCTTTGAAATGTTGGCACTGAAACTCTCGCTCTCGCAGTATCTCAGCGCGCATTTGACGTTTCTCTCTCACTCGTCTTTTCATGCTTTTTTTCGCAACAGGTGCCACTCACCAAAAGAGCACCGTAGCTCAAAATTGCGTCGCAATCATCATCATCATCGCAGAGCGCAGCCGTCGATATCAAAACATGTTTTTGTCGTTTCGTCGTGCCGGGCTATAGAAAGTAAAATTATTATTGTTTTGGTGAAATCTCATCGCGAAAAATCGACCAAAATATTTAATATCAGCGTGACAAAATGTTACGAATAACGCAAACTACACTCGGTGCCGTTCGGAAGTGCAACCATTGGGCGGAGTGTGGAGAACTGCTTTTGCGTGCTGGTGTCGGAGGAAATCCCACCGGCTGGAAGTCGGCTGCTATCAGTGCGAATGGCATTGGCAACAGCAGGAGTCAGTCATCGATGACGTCGGGCGAATCGTCTGATAACAAGCGCCAGGTATGTTGAACTCGTAACGTTTCTTTTTATTTCGTATTCAAATAAAATCTATATTCTTTATGGGGGCAATAAATTGCAAATTCCCAACTTTGTAGGACAGGGCAGCAAATATGCTTGAATAACGACTGAGTCTCTCGGCATGCGTTCTACGTGTATCTATCCCATGACACTTTTGGTAATTTTTAACATGTTCATAGAACAGTATTTTTTATATAAACTTTCAAATAAAACTGGAAACAAAACGCTCAAAACATGTCCACTGTGTATATGGACAGCCCTTTTGGTGCAAGCACGTATTTCAACTATAAAAAATGAGCCGAGTTCGGGTTGACAAAATTAAACAAGTTGGGGTCGGTCATAACTCATACGGCAATGTTTATCTAATCATGTGACGTACAGTAATCCCTGCATTCATGCGGTGGACCACCGTCCACCCACTGCTGTTTATCGGCTGTGTGCATCTACCAATTGAGCTGATTTTCTGTAGTTAACTAGTTTATGCTTGGCACTAATCACATAGCATTTCCCCTACACAAAATCAGCGTAATTGGTTGAAGGACAGTCGAGCAACAGCGGTGGGTGGATTGTATCACCCACCGCATAATTTGAGGGATTGCTGTATGACATTAGATAGGAAGATTAGACTTGTGGGCCGCCACCGCCGGAACTTTTTCACACCTCGCCGTCGCCGATGATTTTGACACGCCGCCGATGATTTTGACACGCCGCAGGTATAATTCTCAATACGCGGACGATGTAAAGGCTTTAATTCACTTCTAAATTTTATACAAAGCATTTCTCTTTCTATCTGAATTCAAAAAGAGGCCACAAGTCCAAATTGGAACAATAATTTTGCTATCTGTTAAGCTGGGTTTAGACTAGGCAATTCAAAAAATGATCAACTCAGACTCAGTTGTATTCAATTGGTTTGAAAAGTTAAGCCTGGTTAAACTTTTTTCAATTCAAGTGAGTTGATCAAGTCAGTTGAATGGCATGGTTTACACGTTCAATTCGCGTTCAAGTCAGTTGAATTCAACTGACTTGATCAATTGACTTGCCCTGTCTAAACCTGGGGGGACGTGCTGTCAAATCAGCCTACTGATTATTCTTGTATGAAATTGGTTCCAAACGTAAACAAACCCTGCAGGTTTCTTATGGCTTGTTTACGTTTGGAACCAGTTATGCGAGGTAGGCGACGATTGTTCGTATTTGACAGCCACCTCCCCCCTTGGTCTAAACCCAGCTTTAAAGTCATGGGAAAAGTCATTCCAATTGACCAGGCAACCTACCAAATGGATGAGATGTTGTCTCTTTAACCAATTCAGCCTCTTTAGCAAATTCCAGTAATCACCAACTAACTCAAAATGCTTGTCATCTGGGAGCCGAGTCAAACTGTCAAACGGGAGCCAAATATTCAAAAGAGCTCAGAAGTCACGTAAGTAGTTACTGTTTGAACCACAAGTAAAGGTGTTGCCACCTACTGAAAACAAATTAAGAATTATAATTATGAAACTGTCGAAACATCAACCTTAGTAGGCGGATAATGTAAATCATCGAGCGTGATGCTCGAAAAAGTGGTTTTATTTGATTTTAATAATGCGAAAACATGATTGCTGAAAGAAAAATGTAATCAAACTTTATACGAGTCTTGTGAGCTTTGTGGGCAGGTGCACTCCCATCACCATGTATACGTTATTTCTGGAGCAGAGGAGGAGGAGCCAAGAGTTCATTTGACAGCATGTATATACAATTTCGTGAGCTGTTTCAGCAAAACAATTTGAAACTTCGGAAGATTTTCAAGATGTTTTCTAGCTCACTTGAAAAATAAAATCGGCTGAGTTCGCAGTACTCAGGTAATCACTAGTAAGGGCCACCCAATGAGCTGGATTACCGAGGTATACGATACAAGCAATTAGTGACGTCAAAACTTGCGTTTACGTTGATTTTTTGGTTTACTAATACAACAATATTTCACGATCTGCTTCACCTCTCTCTGTACCACATTGAGGGACAACCACATTAGATCCGTTTGCGTTGCGTTGACGTAAATTTACTATAATGAAATTAGCGAACCGTAACAAAATGTTATTTTTTCTGTTGGACTATTATGGAAGTTACAGCTGGCGTGGAATTTGCGTTTGGCTCGGATTTCGCGCGTTTTTATAGCTCTGTGGAGCTGATTTTGCGGAAAGTTTATCAATGAAAATGTAACCATTGTTATCAGTGCATTTTTCAATTAAAATCAATTCACTTTTTATTTAAGTGGTCATACCAACGATTGAAATTTGTTGTTCAGCAAGTATCTGATCAATATTGTGAAGAATAAATGAATAGAAGTAACAGGAGTATGTACCATAAAAGTCCAGAATTCTGCGCAGTTTTAAAAATTCAAAGATAGGTAATTATAATTGTGGAAAATTTGAATTAAGATTAACATTGAGTTAGATAGTAGTCATCGATAAAAATCTCCAGTTCTTTATTTTTTATTAGAACAATGCATCATCTGGACAATAAAAAATAATATTTTTGGTTGCTAGTTGCACATTGGCAAAAAATGCTTTCCTTCGAAATTTATCTATGGGCTCAATATTAGCGACAATTAGGCCAATATTAGGGACATTAATCCTCTGTAAAAAATGTTGAGCCTTGGTCAAAAGCTCAAAAAATTATTCATCTTTCAAAATGTATTATGCTTGATACTGTTTCGACTAGTGTTTCCATTTCCTCGCCGTCTTTAGCTAGCCAGAAATAGAAAAACAGCTGATTGCTCATCTCGGTAGTTCCTGGGAATCGGGAAATACTTTTATCTTCTATATGTCCAAAATGCACCATCAGAATGTTCATTTTTTAACTTTCTGAAGTTTATTTAATTCTCCCCTGGAATTTTCGTCCACTTTACCCCGTAGATTATTTTCCGATTCCTCCCGGAAAATTATTTCGTCTTTCCTCGAAAGCCAGAAAACTTCGCTTGAAAGGTTCTTCCTTCTCCCCCCACCAGTAATCTTTCACCGGAATATTGTGATAACTTTCCTTAGAATATTCTTGGTGGGCGTTGGCCAGATTTGGATTTTTCAGATATAATCCTAAATAGGACCTAGATTATTTAATACTCTAGTAACCTCAAGTCCGTGCTCTGTCACAATGTTTCATTGTGATTAATCAACACTCAAAGGGGTAAAATATCAAATTTGGGGTGAATTTGAAAGAAATGGAACTTGGAGTGTAGAGCGCACTGCCCACTGGACGATTCTGAAGCCTGGCCAAGTGAGTGGGGTATGGGTTTATTTGATTGAACGTCATTTCCAATGTATATATTGATACATTCAAACCATTGGCATTTGAGATAAGACAGAGATAGGATGCGGAGGGCCCGCTTAGGGGAAGCGTAACCCATGTTATGGTTTCCATTTATTAAATAGTTCAGATAGGCTGGAAATGACAGGTTCATAGTGAGAAAATGTACCATATGGGGCCCGTTCACTGATCAAAATCAGATTCACATCGTCAGACCCTGCCCAAGAATAAGGGGATTGACGATGTCTTGTCAAGTTTTATTTTGAATTTGCGTTTTGTATTTAATACTCTAGTCCACTGCCCATAATCGCATATCAGTCCCATATGGATAGGAAATCAAGCAAAGATGGGACTGATATGCGATTATGGGTAGTCCAGTTCCAGATTAGTTTGCTATTATTATCTTCTGCATCGCAGCTCGCGATAGATTTCTAAATGTGGGTTCTCTTTTCCGACCATAATAGTGTGAGAAAAGGGGGTGAGTTAAACGTTGCGATATGAGAATAGAGGCAAATAAATAGGGAAGACAACACCATGACCCAAATAAGTAACCAATGCATGCGGCTCACACTTAACTTGTTCTATTTCTTTCTTTCTTCCTATCATGTACTAATATTAACTGCCTGAGGACAAATGGGAACACGACCAGAAGTTCATTAGGAGAAAAGTAACAAGAAACTTCGAACAAGAAAAGAAGATTTAAGCTTGCACCGGCAAGAGGAAGCAGACAGAAAGGATCATGCCGGTTGGAGACAGCCAATGTATACTGGACGAAGCTTGTATCTAGGAAAAGCCGTGTGTGCAGGAAATCGTAAGTAGGATAAGAATCGTAAAAGGTGTGTGCTTGCTTGATAAGATCCCAACTGCAGCTGGGAGTGGCAATACTCATTGATGAGTGATTTATCGTACCCATTTATTAGTAACTGTTAGCAACTAATGATTAATTGATTTACCTATTTTAGAATTACCTATACTTCACATCAGAACCTCTACTACTCCGTCGCAGCACACACCTTATATGGATCGCTAACCTTTATTTAGTTTCAGCATTTTCGACATTATAATCAAAGGGTGAGTTTAAAAAGTATAATTACCATGCATATAGATAAGTTAATGTACCAGAACCTGGACGGACACGAGCCTACCCAGGGGAGGACCCGGATACGACCACCCATGTGTGTCTAGAGTATCGCACGAGCTGACGAGTGCAACGGGAAGGACAGTAGGTGTATAGACTAGGGGGTTGGTCCCTAGATAAGCCTTCTTAGCGGAAGGCACAGCCTATGCACTGAACAATTACAATTACTTTCCCTAGAATATTCTTCCGATTTCCACCAGAAATTAATTTCGACCTGATCGTTTTCGACAACCCATAGAGCTCTATTTCTTCCGGAATTTCTTTCCCAACTTCGCCTAGAAGCTTCTTTCGACTGTACCGAAAACCCTCTGTACCTAGTCATTCTAAATATCATGTGATAGAGCAAACTTTCTCACAGATACTGGTGTCGGTTTGCCAGAATCAGTCGATATTCACGAGAAATCAAAGTTTAAAGTCATTGTTTACATTTGGCAGAAAGATCATTTTCACATGTTGATCTAGTTACTAGATTCCTCCATCATACGTCAAAACAAAAACGATAAAGTTGAGTGCAAACAATAAATGAGACTGCTCGCTAAGTGCCTCAACTTCCCTAAAATATAGTAAA